TCTTTAACTCTATATTTTCCGAGTCTAATTCAAAATTTTTTTCTTCAGCTTTTCTTAATTCTTTGCTTCGATTTTTTTCACTTTCCAAACGATAATTTGCTTCGCTTTCCAGTTCTTCGTTTTCCCTAAATAACAAGACGACATTTTGTCGTAAATTGTCGAATTCTCGGCTAATATTTTCTAAACTTCGGCGGTAGTCAACTTTATTATGTTCTTGAAAAATAAAATCAAGATTAGGTTTTAAGAAGGTATCATAATAATTTTGTAAAGAAACCTCTGCCGGATTATCAAATGAAAATTTATTTCTTAATTTTTCTAATAGATTTTTAATTTTGTGGGGATAGACATAATTATACCCACGTTGTAATTTTTCTAATTGCTCTTGATACTCCTTAACTCACTCTGCTTTTTCTTCAAAATTATTAAAATTATTTAGATAAATTCCAATCAAAATTATTTCTAAATTTACTTCTAATCTAAATAAGCCTAAGTTAACTTGTGGTGGGGGGCTTGTCGCCGGGTTCGCGACGAAAACTCTCTCTCTCTCTCTCTGTCCGCTATCTCTTTGATTTCTTTTAAAATATTTACTTCACTTGTTTCGATTTTTTCTTTTATTTTATTCATAATATTTATTTTAAATATATTTACAAAAAAAAGTAAAATGCTAATTTTCTACCTAGTTAATTTTAAAATTAATAATATAATAAAAATTCAGTGAAAATATGTTCTTTTAATTAATTTAAATCCTTACGAATGCTAATAATATCTCGTACTTTTTATAACTTTGGGATTTTTTTTCTCTTTCTTAGCATATTTAGGAACTAAGTGTTGTTTTTGTTCTACAACTACCCCTAATTAAAAGAACAAAAAGGAATTTTCTGGGTTCTTTTTTTTAATCTTAACTTCAATGTTTTTTTTTTTTTTTTTGTTAAATGCCGCCTGACGAGCGAGTTTCAAGGAAAAATAAGCCAATAATCCGAATAGAATGAACCAAAATAAAACTAACAAAATTTTTAGGACAAATCGGTAATCACGACTAATATTGATTATTTTACCCATTCGCTTCGAACTTAAAAAAGGCAGATTTCACCGAGCATTAAATCGCTTCAAGTATTCTTCATCGGCCAGTTTGCTTCGGAGAAGGCAGAAGAGATAGTAAAAGGCTGGTAGAATACAACAAAAAAGTAGAGTTAGTTTTAATTTTTTTTTCAATAAATTAAGGTGGGAGTAGCGGAAAAAGTAGATTAGAAAAAAAGTGGGAGCAATTAAGTGCCAAAGCGGAGAATAAAATCAATAACGGATTGCTTTAACTATTTCAGTTTGGTTATGGCTGGGGATAGGAACTAGTTTAGTAGTGCCATTAGTGATTCCGCATCAAGTAGTTAAACCGGTAGCAATTCAGACTAGAAAACCAGTTCCGTAAATCGCCAGAGTAAGAAGATTACTCAACATTACTATTAGGGAAAAAACTTGG